ATCACATTTTTTGTGACCTGTACACTACTTTCACTGTTCGATAGTGGAGTTTTCCTTCCTTTAACAAGGGAAATATACTGAACTCAAAAAAATCAGATGCCAAACCGCGAAAATTAAATTCGAGCCTTAACAAATTTTTAAAACTTTTTCTGCAAAAAAAACAAAAAAAAACAAGGATGGCCGGTTACTGTGATGCGAAAGAAGCACAGAATGTTCACACCATAGTCTAAAAAAATTACAAAAATATTTTTAAAAATCATTCTGGTTTCTTGTTTTGGCGAGGTGTGATAAAAGCTGAACAAAACAAATTGAAGATTAGGTACATTTGACAGCCATAATACAATAGGCAAATTGAAAAACAATTTTTCTAGAAAAATTACAAGAAAAACGAAAAAAAATCAAAAAATATTGAAACGCAATTTTTTGCCTGTTTAAAAATTTTGATTCCAATAAGGCGCTAAATTATTCAAGGTAAACCAACGTTACCCAAGTAAAACTAAACTTAAACATTTTAAATTAAGCTATTGTAATCTTTTAAGCAATTAAAATAAGACTGCTCGCTCGCTTTATTCGCTCGAAATAAAACGAAAAATCAAAAATGTCAAACCACGTTTTCGCGAAACTGGTTAAACTTTATATGAGAACTTTTCAGGTGGTTCGAAACACGATTGTAAGGGCTTAAATATGATTTATCACTCAATGCAGTCCGATCATTATCTGTGGTACCTGATTTTTTGTGCAAAACATAATAAAACTATAATACCCGGATACCAAGTTCCTTCCCATTTTCAGTGGGCGGAATAACAATTACCACAGATAATGATCTATATAATAGAGCGCATTACGCTCATCGACTCTCAAACAAATCTGACAAGTTGGTAACCAAGATGCACAAAATCTGAGTGTAAGTGAATCATCAATTGAAAGATTCCAGGAGTACCGAGAAATACTGAAGCAACGCCGAATATAATTTGCAATTAGAGTTATAAAACAAAAGAAACTCAGAGCTTCCATTTTCCTCATTTTCCACCTCAAAATAAAAACAGAATCGAGACTGATCTCACCATTTGCGATAAAATCAAAAAATGCACATGTCAAATAGGGGTTAAAAAAGACCATGACTTAAGTTCTTAAAACGTTGACGAGAAATTAAACGAGTATTCATGGCAACACCTTGCTTATATAAAGGTATAAATATTAAACCTACCAAAATATGAACAAAAAAATATCGATGTGATTAAGTTTTAATATGTTGCAACCGCGAAATTACGTCAAAAATTAGCATTAAAACGCCAGATAACCGAAATACCCCTCCGCAAAGTAAACAAGCCATGACAAAAAAATTCCACGTCAAGGGGGATCGAAACTCGGTTCACTTCGACCAAAACGCAAATTAGTCATCTAAACTAATAAGTTCTATTAACTACTGTTTTTACATGCTTTGCTTGTGAATACACCGACTGTATTGTAGATTTCGAGAAAAGCTAGATTTACCAAACTTTTTAAACTTTTACTCAATTTGTCTTCCATCAAGTTCACTTTGAAAAAATCAAGCCAAACAAGACAATTGAATGTTAAATTTGGATCGAAGCAAAATTTATGGAGCGGTAACAAAGTCGAAATTTTTGAGCAGACACCCGTTGAGCCAAAACATTTGTTTTCATGAAAATAAAACTTTTCGTAATTACAAAATTATCACCTCAAAAGACTCACGCACATAGGAAACGTGTTTTGTCCTCCAACAACCCAATACGATACCACGAAGCCGATTATGTATAAAAGGAATCATTTTTAAGCCGATTAAAAAAAACGAACGAAAACTGAAACTATACCAAACCGGAGTTGGTAAATTTGAAACCAACATTAAAGAACAAAAACTGAACAAAGCGGGTATTTGAATAGAACGGGTATTTGAATAGAACGGGTATTTGAATAGAACGGATATTTGAATAGAACCGTTTTATCGCAATGCAGAACCAAGCTGAGACCCAAAAAAATGATTCGGAAAACCACGTTAAGCCGATACAAACTTAAAAATACACCTCCACCTACACTTCTATGATCATCAAAATTTTCCGCAATTACGTTCTCTATTCTGCTACAAATAGCTGCAAATCCAATATAGCCCGAAGATTTTATGCAAAACACCAAGTGAATTGATCTATATGGCTCAAAACTCCGCTTCACATCAAAAACGAAATGCAGAGGAAAGGGTAGTACTACTGCGCCATGTTTGTTAGACAAAACATAGCAACAGAAAAATTTCAATGAACAAGGAAAAAGTTATGTTTGTTAGACAAAACATGTTTGTTAGACAAAACATGTTTGTTAGACAAAACATAGCAACAGAAAAATTTCAATGAACAAGGAAATAATAAATTAATATCAACTTTCGAAAGGGAGAGAAAATTACATCACGGCAAAGCTCTGAAATTCGGATTCCGAATCATTTATGATGAACACTTTATCATGAATAAGTGCAGCGCAGCTTTGCACCCCTTGCGCTGCGAAAAAAATTGACAGTTTTATAAAATCTATAAAACAGGCATAGAAAAATTAACTTTAAAGAAACGCCACATCTAACAGTAACGATCCAGCCATTCTCTAGAACACTTATGACTCATAAAAGTTCATCGAACAAAAACAAACCAAGCTGAAGAATCAGTTGCGGAAGAAAAGGGAAACCGTTTTTTTTCAACATTAGGGACTTTTTTAAATAAATATCGCATAAAAAAATATTTCGAAAAACCACTAAAAATGATTATTCATTGCTGTTGTTATTGGATTAGAGGATCAGTCAAAATAAAAAAATAATAAAAAACCTTCCTTAAGTTGCGTATGAAAAAAACTTGAGCTAAACTTCTTGGAACCTAATTACCTGCACCATTACCGGAATTCCTCGAAAAACACTTTAATTAATCGTTAAAAATGCGTATATCAAGTTACAAAAAAATCTTGTTCTAGCAACTAAACTGGCAGAAAAAAGCAGACAAATGTTAATCTGACAATAATTTTTTCAATTTCATATCATTTGCTTATCGGAAGCGTAATTAAACGAATCCAATTATGGAAAATTGGGTCAAAATACTTCCGTAACGAATTCTAAAAAAATTTAGAATCCATTTAAAAAAACCACTCTTTCTTAAACAAAGCCAACAGACAGTTGGAAAAGAGTAAATGAACGCGAGGAAACAACAAAAAACTGACTGGTTATATGAACAATTTTCAACTTTCGAATTTCAAAGTTGAAAAAATATGAAATTAAAGCTCTTTGAATTTCAACAAAAATTTAAGACGACTTTTTTTAAGTAACTCATTTTGAGAAAACTGGATCAATAGGTAAAATCATCTGATGAAATTCGAAGTCGATCAAGTTTTCCGTGAACTCTACAATTTCGTTGGCCGATAGAATTTGCCTTCCAAACAAAAGAAGTGAACTGAATTTAAAAAAAAGAGAAGTCGAACCGCCAAAAATCAAATTTGAGCGGGAACAAAATTAAAGATTTTTCCTTAAAAAACCATCGCAGCCTTCAAAAAAGTCTCCACCGATACATATCAGAGAGCATACTTGCCTTCCTTTTAGCGTATGAATTCGAATTCATGATCAAATTTCAAGACTTTCACCTGTAAAAAGCCGCAAGAAAACCACGAGATATAAAAAACTTACACATCACCGTGTTCACTATTTAAAAAAATAAAATTTTCATGAACAAGCAGACAACAAAAAATGATTCAGAAAAGTCAAGTTTTACCGGTTCGAAATAAAATTACGAGAAAAAAACTTTAGAAAGGCCTTGGCATAACGAGCCAATTTTCATATCAATTGCGACATTTCGCTTTGCTAGCTCAAGAAGTTATCACAAACATTAAGCTCAAGTACCAGCTAGCAATGGACGCTTTTTCAAAAAGTGGATAAAACAAGATATTCTACCTTTAATTATAATTTGGTAGCACACTGATACTGAAATGGAACAATATTCTGCGAGTCAGGCTGGAAAAAAAACGAAACAAAGAAGTAAAGTGCAAAATCAACATAGCACGAAACTTCCAAATTGTACTGGATAAATAGTTGCTTCGCAGTATACAAAACCCAACGTTTCTTGTCAGCAAAAAATGTGTACTGAACTCGACTCTCTGTGAAGTTACAATGGGCTACCTGCTGATTCCCGTGGAAGAAAAAACCTCAAACACAAACTCATATGGCTTTTTTCGCACTAAAACTGCGCGAAAAATTGTCCTCGCAAAAATTTTCAACAGGAAATAATTAATTTAAATAGTAAATCCAAATCATCAGATTAAAACCTCAGCTTTTGAAAAAATCTTTGGCTGACAAAATTAGCACAAGCAAATATAAGTGTAAGTAAACATCGTGACATACCAAAGATATATTCATTATACAAATTTCAAGAAAGAAACATCAACTGAGTTCAAGTGACACAAATTGCAACATTGAGATCGAATTTGAGTTTAAGATACTTTCAGAATTACAGCGCTTCAATCCATTATGTTTCACCGTAATCTGATCCTAGGAGCACAATTATTTCATGTTCGGGGTTTCTCTTTTCGCATGACACTCACAAACTAGCTGCTATGTTTTAACTCTCGTCTATTTGTCGCTCCCTTTTAGGCTATCAGTTTCTTCCAAGTTTCAAGGGTGACCATTTAAACTCTTCACTTATCAATCTAACTATTTTAAACCTTGAAGAACCCATAGCACCATTATTTAGCTTTTTTTAACTCCCGGGTCGAGGTTCCAGTTTTTTTTCTTGTGTACCTAAATTAGATATAACTAATTACTATTTTGTTTTTCAAAATAAATATGCTTCTAAATTGCAGTGTACAGACTATGTGCAGAATTATCTTACGGCCTGAACATCTGATTTTTTTTATACAAGTGTGATAGGAAAATTCTGAGCTATTAACACACAGCAACCGGTTCTTTTTTGTTTAAATGGTCAGCACTTGTAGTTGTTGTAGTTGAGCTCGGTCTCTGATTCGTGCTATAGCTGTGGCGTGGTGCCTGGTTTGAGTGCTACTAGGAGGGGTGTCTTGTAGTTGTAAGATAGGAGGTTGTTCTGGTTGTCCAAATAGGGCGACTCCAGACTGTAGTCCACTTTCTCGATCTCAAACCCCACTTTCTTCATTACCAGCACCAACTCGTCATACGTCAGCTCTACAGTCAATATCCATTACGTAATTTGCAAGAAATTATCATGACGCAACCGTAACTAAGAATAGCGAGTACTTTACAAGGAAGGCTTTTACAACTGAAAAACGCTACCAAGAGGATTGCTGATGACTTAGAAGCAATGGATCAAAAAAGCTGGTGCTTAAAGCGTTTTTTCAATCGCGGTGATAAAAAAAATCCATCTATGAGCCGTTACACCCCATGCAAAATAGGATTCTAGGGGATAAAAAATCCCAGTGTAGTATGCGGATTCGAGTAAAATATGCGGATTCTGGAAGGGCCTACTGGCCAAAGGTAACAAATTCATTTGCGAATAGCTCATTTGATCAATAGCGAAGCAGTCACGCTTTGGTTTTGTCTATGTTAGTTACTTGGTGCGCATACTTTTACTTTATTTGCAGGCAGAGCAATTGTTGTTATAGAAACAATGATAAGTGGTTGAGATATCCGCGTCTCAGACGAAAGGTCGCCTAATCGAGGCCGAGCACGATCTGCGCTCGTTAACTGCGAGTGAGGCAACAGTTCTCGACCCAGAGAAAAAGTTACCAAACAAAAAATAGCATGTTGTTCTTAAGCAGAGGAACAACAGCAGTTCTACCTAGCGCTGAACATCAGGCATGCTTGTCCTTTTCCTCTGGAACTAATTGGTCTTAATCTCAACCTTTGAAGGCCTAGGAGCAAATACATGAACCCTGTCTTCTCACCAATGGACAGTTCTCCGGGCATGTCGGTGTAGTGGTACAAAAGGGGGCCTAGATTGATGAGACAGCCTCCTGGCTTGAGCATCTTGTACATTAGTTCCAGGTACTCTATTACATTCCTGGCAGTGTCCAGGAAGAAGCAGGAGGCCACACAGTCCCACTGGCAGCTGTGGTTGCCATACACCTAAGATAGCCACACCAATACATGCTCATGTGAAATAACAATTGATTTATTCTGCTAAGTGGAAAAAAAACGAGGAGATACCATCATGGGACACATGAAGCTGAGGTGGACTACTAGTGCCATGCTATGGATTTTCAGATCACAAATTAGCTATAAAGTACTTTTAGCCTCTCCAGAATCGAAAATTGTCCAGTAGTCCATTTCGCGGTCTTCACTTTTCCCCTTTAAATTCACTTGTGAACATACGCTGTTCAAATGTTTTGAAGCTTAACATTCCCACTGAATTTCAAACTTACTGATCAAAAAAAATTTTTAGCAATCACTGAAAAATATCTAAACGACACTATTTTGAGTAAACTTATCATAATCCCTGACCTCCAGGAAGTCGCCGGCACTCATGGAAAAGGCAGGTGTGGCCCCATTGGCCAGCTCAGACTCACGGAAGGCCAGAGCATCACGTGGATTCACGTCTGGAATCTGAACCTGCAAATGAGAACATCCAAATGTTTTTGAAAACAGAAACAAGAAAATTCTGAGCTCATTACAAAATTTGATAACACCAAGACAATACTGATAATAGTACATTTGAATAACTTGTTAACTTTAAGCAATCAATTGGATAACAATTACTACCATGAACTGTAAAAAGCCCTTATTTCATTATTTTTCCAGAAGTTTTCATCTTTAACTCCAAGTAACCAACTGACAAAGGACACTCAGAAAAAACTGCAATCACAAAAAGGAACTTAAAATTTAAGGGTGGACTTCCGTTTTAAAAGACGCCTGAGTGGGGACCAACTTGAGGCGGGACCGCCAGATTTTGGTTAAGATGATACACTCGATTTTGTCATTCCAAAATCAACTTTTATCTCCACTGCTACTCACAGCTCTGCACTGTTTCTCCTGGCTGAACTGATTACAGGGCTGTGTGGCCCAGGGGTATATGGTGTACTGTTTGGGTCTCAGAGTGTGGTTGAGGATGAAGGAGGAGGCATAGAGCATGAACACACTCCACTCGCTGCCCTGACATGTGTAGCCCAGTGTGGCCACTTCGAATGCCAGTCGACCAAGACCAGCACCTGAAAAGTCCAACAGGAGAGTTATTTTCAGCTTATCCACAGTTTGTGCAAAACCGTCTAGTTAATAAGAACGCCTGGATTTAACCCATTTTCGATATGTTATTTTTGTAATATACATTTTTAAAACCTTTTCATAATTTGCGCTTGTTTTGCGCTATATAATTTCCGATATTTTGCGCTTGGCATGTGCATCAATTGTCCAACCAAACCGTCGTACGATATTGACGGACTTTGGATTAAGTGTTTTGTTTTCACTTCACGCAAAATCAACGAGTTCGGACCATTATGTAGATCTTCCTCAACAACTCGTTCTTTGAGTTTTCTGATACGTAATGGAAAAAATACACGATCAGTTGATTTTCTCTTATGTTCAACTAGTAACTGACCTGGTACTAAGACTTCCACTGTGCGTTTGTCCTCAATTTTTCCATATCTCTTGCCAATCTCTTCTGAAAACAAAAAGAAGCAAATGCACAAAAATACAGGACATAAGGTAAACACACTCAATAAAACTAACAACTAACAGATTAAACTCATCTACAACATTTTCAGTTTTGGCGCAGGAGTTCTAAGACCGAGCTTCATCATATCATTGTCTGTCATAAAGAGCTAAGACGCCAACGAGTTAACAATAGACAAACCAGACCTAATTTCAGGCCAAACACTCCAGAGGTCCCAAAGAAGTGATGAGACAAACCAATGATGATGATGATTCTACACGATAGTTTACCGAGAATGGGTGCGTAGCTCCTCTTCCTCTCCTCCTCCCCCTCCTGGGCCCAGTCCCTCACAAACTGACGGAGGGTCGTGCGCATCTTCTCATGGTCAGTCATGCAGGGCAGGGCCTGATGCGTCGAGTGGGAGAAGAGGTACTTGAAGAACCCGTCGCCACCCGAGTCCACTGAAACACAGACATGATACACATTCATATAATTATCGAAACGTTTTTACATTCAGAAGCTCAAATATGAAAACAGAGGCGAAGCTGTGTTTCGCAAACACTAGCAAGAATTGACAAAAAGCAGCACGTAAAGTGAAATAAGAAAAGGTAGAATTAGGCTCAAATTAGAATTTAAAAAATTCGACAACGAGTCGGATTCTATCCCGCGACCTAGAACTTATCAATCTCAAGCACTAACCACTTAGCCACGGAACCATCGCAAATTACTAACACTAGCCACAAATAGAGCAGACAACAGATGCTACGAAATTTTTAATGCTACAGATTGAGATTATAGCAGAAGTGCCACCAAGTGAGCACTTTCAGTTGCGAGTTGAGTTGGAAAAAAAAAAAAGGTTCACACTAATACACAGTCCGAAACTTAATTTTGCTGCTAGTGAAAAACAACATAATGGACCCAACTGATAGGTCAGATTTGCTTTACGCTTTTGTCAGGTCAGATTTGCCTTATCGATTTCTGCGTCTGTTTTTTTTTTCTTATAACATATGAAGTTAAATTTTAACTATGATTGAGCTGGATAAGCAGATGTTGTTGTTCTTGTCTGAAACAACAAACAGGAAAAAAAACTGTTCAACCAATTTTGTTGATTTAGAAAAACACGAGTAGGGCAGCGAAGTTACTGGAGGCATGGCGTGGATACTGCCATAGAGGGTTTAGAAATTCGATGGTTGGTAGACGTCGGGTTACTCACTGTCTGTGACAGCGTCTTTGAGTGGGTTGTTGTCCTGGAACATGTGCATCACATCCCGTATCACTTCATTCAGGAACTGCTGGTTCAGTCTGATACACTCTTCTATCTTCGCATGTCTAGAGAAGAACCCGATCTCTTCTAGAATCTTCCGGTGACGTTCGTTCACGCCCTTGTCCACCTGCTGGAAGTTCGTAGACCCATTCCTCACTCCCATTTGGGATCCAGCTGTAACACGAAACGAATAACTTAAGCTTTAACAGCCCCCCCCCCCCCATCCTACGGTACCTAGTAAATAATAGTAACCCTTTTAAACAACTCACCCAATGGTTAAACAAATGCGCTATAATTCCACCTTTTGCGACCAGTGAAAAAAATAAAAAAAATACCACGAAGCAGTATTAAATTGAAAAAATGATCCAATTCTAACAATAAATTAACATTTTATTTCGTACAAATTGTTTTGCAATTACTTTTTCGACCAAGTTAATTGACACAAAACGCTCATTTCACATCCAAAATCAATCTTTAAATCATTTCAAAGCCTCAACAGAATGTCAAAAAATCTTACCTTATTGACCAATTGAACAACTTGATGTTACCGATAAAGAAAGTTTACCGACAATTTTGCTACGACACATTGAGGTCCGTTTCACTTCAAGATATAAAAGCCCTTAAAGTTTTTCAAATTTCAAGACTTTTTTATGATCGAAACATTGTTGAATAAAATTAACCATATGTGAGAAAATTTGATCAATAGTTTTTTATTCAGCTGAGAAACCCGGAAATTAAAATTCACTTTCGAAACAAGAAGACGTTCACACTTTTTGCGATCTTAACACTTAACGCTGTTCGATAGCAGAAATTTCGCCTTCTTTCTATCGAAGAAAATGAGAGCTGAATTTAAAAAATGAATAAGAAGTTGAACTTCGAAAATCTCAATTCAAGTGTGAACAAGTAAAAAACTTCATCAAAAAATAACAAAAAAAAACTTAATACTACTTATATACGTGGCTTCACTACGTTCATTGACACTTGGTTATAGAAAAAACCCAAAAATAGGCCTTAAAAATTGAAACCAGAGCCGTAATAAAACCACCCAATTTGAGCTCAATAGTCTCACATCCTGGCCTATTCACCAAGAACTCTGGATTTTATCCAAGCACTAGCTAGCCACCAATAAGGCGGATAAAGCATGCTATTAAATTGCGGTTGCTTATTCTATGCAGCAAATTTTGCCTTAAAACAGAACTTTTGTTTGCAAGTAGAATTGGAAAAAAAGTGGAGTCGTATTATAATCTAACGCTCGTAAGCTCGCAGGTGAAAATAAAAAAAAAACAGAATTCTACCTGAACTTGTTTTTATCTTTGGACAAATCAGAAATAACGATTTTTGATAGACAATATGGATATTGTAAAATATGTTTTCGATATAATGGTTCTACTCTGCACGCGTTGCTGGCGGTTTTAAGGATCTGTTTTGTAAACAAACAGCCAGATAATAAAATTGAGTCGAAAAAATTGAGCTTTACAAAGAAAATTACCTGGTCAGAAGTTTTTTTCACTCAAGTATGCTGTTTGTGCTAATAACTGGCGTGCTGTTTGTGCTAATAGCCGTACGGTAGACCTCTTTTCGGCATACTTTTAGAAAAAGTTCAAAAGTTCTAACATCAATTAGGTTTTATTGAAAAAATTCTTGAGTTAATTGAAAATTTTCGGAAAAAAAATATTTAAAACTGCCATATATCTCAAAACTTAAAAAGAGAAGTTCCAATAGAAGCCAAAATTGCAACCCCTAAGAGCACCCTGACAGCACCACAATATAGGGTTGAAAATTCAAGTTAAGTTAGTTTTTTAAACCTAGGTTCTTAGAAGTCATAAAAAACGCCATATCTCTGAGATCAAAAGGAATTGAACAGTCATATTTGGAGGCCAGATTTGCCAACCCTGAGTGTACCCTGACAGCACCACACCATATGGTTGAGAATTTAAAATTCATCAATTAAACACTAAAACGAAAAGCTTGAAAAAGTTTGCATTCCCAAAGAAGGAAAAACACTGTTGTACAGTTATACAATTCTCGCTTCAACGGATGTATGGTTGAAATCGTTGATGGTCGTGGAAATTTAAAACATTGAAATCCATGAAAAATATCAAACGTTGCAATATATTGTCATTTTATTTAAAATGTCAACATAGACTTCTTAGACACATGTGAGGTGAAGAAAAGCCAATTAAATAATAGATACATAGACAGAAGAAATAGATAGATAGATTTCTTTGCATTAACATTTAGCGTTATATATCTATGTTTATCGAAAAAATTTCTGTATAAAAAAGATGTACGATGACCTCGTGCAGTATAATTCAAAGCGATTATATCAACAACACCTGAAGTGGAGTTTGATGCGGTAGATTCTTTGCTGACGTCATTGAGTCTCTTCTCGACGAAGCGTCCGATGTGTTCCTTAGAGTAGGCCGCATACGTCCGCGCAATCTTCAAGAAATGAAGACTGAAACACATAAGATACGCCCTTGCTCAGATTGTAAAATCTGAAATTCTAAAATACTCAGACCAGTTTTTCTGGACACTGAGACAATTTATATAATTTTTTGAATCCAAATCACGGGGTTTTTGGGCAGTCAAAATTCGGTGGAAAAACACACTTTACGTCATATTTCCTTCCAACTTCGTGTAGTAATTCATTAATTCACTGACAGCATGGTTTAGAAGGCAGTTATCTTCTTAATCTTCATTAGTTTTGTTCTACTACTCATGTTATTAATAGATGAAAAGAATGATTGACTTTAAAATGAACCATGACTGACCGTTCGGCTTCTTCGTCTTCGTCCGGCTGAATTGGTCTCTTCGGGGGGTTTCCTATCGCCTGATGATTCAATTCATTTTGCACTGCCCCTCCTCCCCCATGAGAGTGTGAATTGTGTCCGCCTTGGTCCCCTTGAAAGGAATCAGTCAAGATTGCACGTTGAAAAATCAGAAGAAAAGAAACCTTTTGGAAAAAAGTCCTGATATCAAAAAATCATATTTTCGAAATATACGCGACCACGATTTCCGGGTATTCGCGAAATTGGTTTCCAATTAAATTGGCATGACTCAGAAATTAAATTCGGCTGACGAAAACAGTAGATCAATTTATTCAGCGCTAAAGATACCTTGCATAATGCAAAAATAGTTCAGTGATATCCAGTCAATTGGAAGCGTCGCTTGCTGTCATAATTTCACGAGATTGGTATTTTCTTTTTGAAATATTTTTTTGCTGTTTTTTTAAACTATTTTGTAGATTTTTATATCGAAGAGATAGAGAGAGCAGAAGTGGCGGTATGGTGGGGGTTATGAAACCCGAATTTTTTTTAATCATGAAAAAATTAATCTGAAAAAAGGTTTAAAACCTGATGCAATGAACAATTATAGCAAACGCCATGCCAACCTTGGTGTGAATGATGATTGTGTTGCTCGTATGGACGAATGAACTGTTCCGGTTCTGCATTGTGGTTCAATGAGTGGTTCATACCCTGGTTGGAATTATGAATGAACTGGTTAGGCTCGGCCATAACTTATTACAATAATAATATATAGAACTAATTATTAATAAATTATTATGTATCCTGATTGTGATGACCGATTAAGATATATAATAATTTTACTGCAGCGTTTGGCGCCTTCTTGAATTTCGCCGTGACTCAAACCGATTTTACAGATCAATCTGAAAAAAAGAATATCTAGCAGGGTTAAATTGCATTCTTCTAGAAAAGATAAAAACAAATCCAAATATACTCAAGTATACTCAAAGAAAAAACTCGACCGAAAACTAACTAGACAAGCGAATTCAACAACTTATGAAAATGGAATCCAATTTTTGCCTGACCAAAATAGAAGAAGTTTTTGCCTAATGATTACCATGTCTGTTTACTCAAACATGCCACTGAAACCATCAAAATTAAGGCGATAACATGATTTCATTAGTTCACATTTTTAGAAAAAACTTTTAAAATTGCATGTAGTTCTGAAGCAGGGGCACAACAGCTGTTCTCCGTGAAGATCTGAACAGCTCGTATGTTGGTCCTTTCCCTTGTGCATAAATCGTCTTAGAACTCACCACAATTCATGATTATGTGGGCTCTTTCCCTCACCTGGGCTCTTTCACTCAAAAACCCGTTCCATTATCTAGAGGTCATCACTCAATAATGAAAGTTCTGCAACATAGATTTAATTGACATGCTAAAATTAACTTTACAGTTAATATTTAAGATTCAAAATTATTTGTTCAATGCTTCATAAATATACAATACATTGGCTGATATTCTCTTTTTTGATAAATTAATTACACCAAATTCTATTTACGAATAACGATTTCAATTAAATTTCGACTTCGAACCGAATTTTACAAAAATATTAGCCGCAACAAGTAAAGGATAGACTTTGCTTCGAGACTGTCACACTTTTATAAATTCATGATAAAACATAGAAAAGGTTGCCATTTTATTCAAAGCCACTTCCTGTTTTCTATTCTGAACTTTTATGAACCAGCCCAATTTATAGCAAAAGGGACAGAACTCTTCAACGATAGGAGACGAATGAGATCATAATTTCGCAAACTGGTCCGGAAAATTGCAAAATGATCATTTAGCAAATTGATCACCAATTTCTCGTATTTTGTAGAATGGGTTAACTTTCTAAATGAAGATGAGCGAGTCGAAATCCCAGGAAAAAGAGCCAAAAGAGTTAAAATTTGACAAGGCGCTAAACACTTGTACGTAAAATAAACTCAGTACTATCACAGTCCCTTGAATCATCCAAAGTTTACAGAATTATGTCACTTTCTTGCTTTTGATATAGACGCAGAGTTCTAAAGAACCACGCATTTTTGACAATAACATATTTTTGCCAAAAAAGTTCAATCTAAACGACCAGCCAGTCATGTTGCTAACATTAGATAAAAACTTTCGAGTTAAAACCACATCTAGAAGTAATTATGATAGTGCATGTTCAATTTATCGAACCTGGATTTTATGAAGAACTAAATATGTATTCTACTTCAAGGTTTTGGCCTTTCTTTGTCTATAGTCGATCACCCTGAATCATGCCCAACAAATATTGAATGTGATCACCTGATAATAAAATAGAAGTCCTATTACAAATAACTGATTTTTAAGCCAATTTTCTTGATTTATTTTGAAGATTTATACAACGATGCGCTTCAAAAATTATAATTAAACCTACAAACAAAAATTGGCATCTCACCCTCAGCATACATCGAGATTTTAAAAAAAAGTTCGTTGTGATCTAGATCAAATCCAATAGCTAAAATTGGCAACATAACGCACCATCTGATTGAAAAGTAGTAGCAAAGTGAAAAAATTCCTTCCAAATGTTTCTTCCAAACCTACCAATTTAATTTGTGTGAATTTCTTTTAAAACTCTTAAGAAGTAACAGCACAAACACCATTTGAGAAGATTCCGTGCCCATTAGGTAGGCAAATTATTCAAATATTAAATCAAACAGAACACGACCTCTGTAACATTTGCAAGACAAACGTAACGGTGAAGTATTATACTTAAAATCCCTTGCATAACATTTGCCGTATATGATAAGCAGATATGTGCCCAATTTTTTTTTTACCAAACAGTAAATTTCATTAAATTATGGACCAAAAAAAACTTTAAACGAAACAACATCGACTATCTTAGTTAATAAAAACTCTTTTTCTGGTGATGTATTTAGTATTAGTTCTGGAATATAACATCCCAATTGATGTCGATGACTACGAAGCTCCCACAAATCGAATTTACATCCACCTTGACTCGATATGTTTTGTCAAACTTATGGTCCTGGTTTTCATGCCAAAAAGATCACCATCCAAAATAACATTTCCTACTATCTCAGGATTAATAATGCCTTCGAAAATCACGTTGATATCAATTACAAAACCCTTTCATCGAAAAACTTGATGAATTTTGTTTTTCCAAAAAAGTCATGGATACCTCACTTTTATTTCTCTACCAAGGTATATCTCAGTTATTTCTTAATACAAATTTCACTTATCATTACCATATTATTGCCATATTCTCACCAAGCGCCGGTTCGTAACTTAACTCAAGAATGTCAAATTTGCTATCAAGAAAAACAAAGTTAAAAAGCAGCAAAAAAGGAACCCCATCATACCCCCACTTCATCTGTATAGATTACCAGGAGTAATTACTAGCTCATTTCTCCTAATACGAATAAACCTTTGCCCTATTTGCCAGGTCCATAATTCAACCCGACCTTACTCCCATTACTCCCCTGCAGCTGATGTAATCGAATGAAAAAGTATGAACCGAGGAAACACTCCAATTCGCTTAATGACAAGTTAGCGCCCCCTGGCTGATTGCCATTCAGGTATCAAACTATGTAAAAAATGCCTCCCTTTTTCAACAGCGAATCGCCCAATACATCACATCCCTTACGGTCTTTCTGACCCTTGGGAATACTTTTTTAGTCTGAAAGAAGCAAAGCATAGGAAAAAGTTTTGAAGTTCCGAGTCGTTCTCAGAAATGAAAGTTATAAAGTAGGAAAAATGAAAATTTGGGCCTTATTGGTGCTTAATGTTCAACTAATTTTTTTTTAAAAATACACTTAAGCTATGATAAAAGTATAGACAAAAGCAGGTTTTAGGAAGCTTTAGTAACCTTACCATCTCTTTTTTGGAGTGAAATTGTAAAATAAAGTGATGAATTATGTTAATGGAGGAAAGAAAGTGATGAATTAAGTTAAAGAAGGAAAGTTAGAAAAAAATTTCAACTTAATTCATAGCTGTATTTTACAATTTCACTCCAAAGAAGAAGAAATGATCTGGTTACTAAAGCGTCATAAAACCTGCTTTTGTCTATATATTTATCTTAATTTAAGTATATTTTCAAAATTTATATAGTTGAACATAAGGCACAACAATTTCGATACACATTAAAAAAATTGTTGGAGTAATTAAGCTTGTATTGGTTAGGGTTAAAGACACTCCCTCAACAGTTTTTTCTAATCACTTCTCCCGAAAAAAAAAGATCCGTGGTAAAACTGTAGATGACCCTAGATGGACTGCTAATCAGGATAAGGTGTTAAATATTGCCCAAATTTTCATTTTTTCTACATGTTAACTTTCATTTCCAAACACTTCGGGACTTCGGGTTTTTTATAGTTGAAATGTATCCTGAAATCTAAGAACGTATCTTTAATAATGATGTTTCATACTCTGATTGTTTAAAACAGAAGAATATTATTCTTATGTAGTAAGTGGTTTGTTTCAAAATGTTAAGTACTACAACAGAGCAGTTTGAACTAGTAATCAACTTGAGAGTTGAGAATTTTACTAACAAGAGAGCAAACGAAAACTATCAAGCAAGTAAATACTCGCCCCTGAAAATAGCAAAGGAAACTACAGTTCAACCCCCGTGCCCAAAGCAGAAGCGAAGGAAAGCATTCCAGTCAGAAGAACTACTGGACATCAAAGATAGCTTGATTAAAAAGCAGCCAGATTTCCTCGCCTTAAGGAGGGAATAGAATTACAAAAAAACCGGAAATGCTGTTGAATCAACAGAATCTTAAATACTTAACAAGCCCAAAGAACTCCATGAAACCAGAGTACAACAAGTTAACACCGCGTAAAACAGTCAGCCTGACAAACAGCCATGAAAGAAAAAATCAAAATTCTCTTTAAAATGTTTGTCAGAGAAGACTGTTCGTTAGCAAACAAGGACATGTGGAACATTAAACAACGAACAAAAAAGGTACAAGATTCTTAAGACTTTCTAAGTTATTATCTTGTTACTCCCCTCCTTTTGTGACCGTAACATCTCATCTAACTTAATTTTTCCTCCATTGCCTATTGTCTTGTGATATAGCAGTTTCATTGAATTAACAGCAGCTTTGTATAGACCTCTGAAACTTGGAGCAATGTATACTACTCCATACAATGGTATAGAACTCCTTTTGATACCTAGTCTCAAAAATGATCAGGGAGGCTGTTTATCTCGTGTTTGACCTGTAAGAGTCTCTTCACTTGAATTAGCTCGTTTAGTGATCCAATGAAAATTGTTCCTTATCGGTGAAAATCTGCTTTAGGAAACCTCGTCGAGCAATGAACCTTCTGATAATCTTCAAGCATTCTTCAGCGTCCAAGGCTGTTGAAATACCCATGAGGATTACTGTAGTAGAAAAGCAAATGTAACACTTTGCTAGTTGATCGGTTTCTTTGTAGTAGATTGGTCCGGCTAAATCGATACCAACGTACGAGAATGGTGGCGATGGATTGGCTCTCTCACTAGACTTATCTAACGTTAGCTGACTCATTGATCTGCTGAAACCTGAAGCAATTATGCAGTTGCCTATCATTGCTCGCGTCATCGACTCGAAACGTATGATTCAGAACAACTGTCGAGTATGAGCAACAATGACATTCAGTTCACAGTGCAGTTGAACAAGGTGGCTATTGTGAATCATAGTTCCCGAGAAATGAGTGTTCGGCGGCAAGACCATCTAAAAAAATTTTTTCTCGCTTAGGCAATCAGCTGCTGCGAGTCGTCAACTAACTTTTAGCAAACCATCATCGTCAACTTGTTGAGTTGACGATGGACAGGTTATTTTCGAGTTTACGAATAATCCGGGCTGATATTCAGCTTGTCATAGTATTACCTCAAAAAATTCTAAACTCGTTAAAAACCAGTGATTTTTATTGCATCTACTTTACTTTTATTCCTTTTCCGTTTCTCTTTGTAAAACTAGGCGAGGAGACTTATAAACATTGACATAACATTTCCCACCAACAATAATTGGGACCACTTCATTCATGGTTTAATAACTAATCAAGTCCAGAGTAAAGAAAATGAAGACCTAGCCGAATTGATGGAAGGAAGAAACGGCCACACTCAATCCACTTTAGCAATCAATTTAGACGAACTGGGCAAAAAAAATAATTTAGACGAACTGGGCAAAAAAAGATAAAAAGAAAAATTTAGAATCTTTAATATCTCACCTAAATGGTTATTCTCTAATAAATAAATTTTGCTACCAACTATAACCTTAAAATCTTTAACAACAACTCAGATCGATAACGCTCTAAAGCATAGGCGGTGAGGTGAGACTTAGGACGTTAAAATAGATTACTTAAGAGGGGAAAATGAGCTGTAACATTGAGCTCATCTTGTTTTTTTTAGCAGAGAAAGAGAAAGTAAAGATACGGTGAGAAAATAGCACTAATTTATGCGACTTGGATGAGAAAAATATAGATTCGTGTGATAACACAATTTTTCCCGTGTAATATATTTCTACTCAAACCCATTCTAATCAAAATTAACAAGTTGTTTTAGACATCTCTTATACAAGTGTGAAATTTACTTTTTTGTTCCGACCATTGGAAATGGAGAGGAACTTTGTATCGATGTGTGTTATGGTTTTCTTAATTTATATATTTGGTTTCGTAAATATCTTTAAGTTATCTCAGATCGATGACAATCTAAAATGACATCCAGCTGATACTTATTATATTCAGATACACTACGAAATACAAGACAAGCTATACGATCGATCGAGTCGTGAAAATACTGTTCGAGATTATTATTCTTCTAAAAATCATGGCAACCTTCTTTGGAACATTCAATGTTATGACATCGTCTGAACTCAACAACTCAGATTGACATTTTCTATCAGCATGCTAGAGGATATCTAAATAAATTGAATCTATTTTCAAATTAAATAGAATTTCAAATAGAAAGCACCAAAATTCACATCTTAAATAACTGGATGAAGACTTATTCTCATTTCATCGAATTGCTAAATTTATATACAAACGGACGAGCACAGTTAGGTAGTTCACACATTCAGCAACTTTTCATGATATAATCATTTAACTAATCATTCAATGAACAAAAAGCCAAAAAGTTCCACAGCAACATTTACCCTTTATGATTGCATGGAGTTATTCCAAGAAATTTCTTCTAAGTTTAAAGTTGGTTCAAAACACTGAAAGCATCAAAATCTTGGCTATTTTGCTTTGAAAAATCTTAAATTGATGTGACCAATTTTATGGGAAGGCAAAGCATCTTTAAAAGCATGCATCAAGATTATTATAATTATTGCAAGTCATTTAATATAACCAAAATATACATTAAATCTTAATAGCAACGCTCATTTGTCCCTGATAGTGCAGAATCGGTATTGTTAGTGACGTCACTTTGTCGGATACGCAGAGCCCTCGATTCAATTATTTCGGATGCAGAAAAATAGAGAATGGCAGCTTTTATCTGATTTGTAAAGACTCACTTCTATGAATATTCTAAGTCATGCAGTTGATCTGATTTTCTAGACTCAATTCTAAAATAGTTACATCGATGTCCAAAATAACCCATCGTGCATAAACACTTTCTGCCAGTTAATCTATCGGCTAATTTCAATACTGTCCAAAAGATTCCGATGTTTCGTTTTTGATTTTGGTCGACTGGTGATACTTGCCCCTCGATGAGAAATCATCATTTTCCTCTGTCAATTGACTCGTAGCAAAATCCGGCTTCTCCATTGGCGGTGAAATGACCATCTGGTCGTATTCATCTTTGTTGCTTTTGAATCCGAAACAAGAAGCTACTACTGAATGCAGCCAGTGGAAAAAGTGGAAATTTGAGACCCCTGGATACACTCCTGGATTCGCTTGGCCGATGTACACGTAGATTAGGAGAGTGATAGTGATCATGATGAGAGCCAAAAGCCAGTTGGTTAAGAACATCAGAAATAGACAAACTCCACAGTTGAATAGAGATAGCCATCTATTGCACAGATACATGTACCACCTTTTGTGTTTCTTTCTAGGCGGCATATCTACTGTTGCTGATATATAAGTCGATTCATCGTCCAAATTACTTTTCCGGCTAATATTGCTCAGGTATTTTGCTGGCGAATCCGGACAAGAGTCGTCCTTTTTCTCCCCGTCCAAAACAGACCCGTATGCAGGTGGCGCGTCGTGAGCATTGCCCCCGTGTTGATAAGGGGGAGGGGTTTTGGACCGGATATCTGTCGGCGTCTGTGTACCACTACGTGTCGATAAGGGTGCTGTTTCTCCTGGATACTTCTCGTCTCCATCCCTGTATTTTGAGATCTTCATCATTTTGTCGTATGACATTGCGATTGAGAAATATGCGAAGTTGATATACGCATAAGTCAGCAAAAATGGTAGAGTGACTACAGTTCCTAGAAAATTTATTTGGCCAACTAGGATGAAAATAAGAGAGATCAGCCCTATGAAGAGGGTCGCGTAGAAGGGTTCCCGGTTGGGACCCCTTCCCATCGCCAGGAATGACAGAATCGGGAAGTTCTTCTCTACTGTAATACATTGGAGGATCCTAGGAGCTCCGTACAGTCCTCCGAGGGAACTCGACAGTGATGAGATGAAGAGTCCCATTACCCAAACGAAACCGATCAGTGCCACTTTTTCCTGGATGAGACTGTCGGTTCGGAGGGAGTCCCGCAAGCATGTGTAGCCGAGGATGAAAGCGTGTGTCAAGTAGAGAAAAGTGCTAACGCCTGAAAACACAAAAACATCAAGTTTTATGAAACACGGTTTATGAGGCAAAATTAACAAAAAAAAAGAAATAAGCGGTCGAAAAGAAAATTTTAAAACTTTTAACAGCATTTTTCTAGAATAGTTTTTTAATAATTCAACAAATACCGACATATTTACACCAACAAGTTGATACTCTTCGATGCAAATCAGGATACTTCATTGAGTTGAAACGCAGCAACTCACACAATTAAAACTGAGTTATTAAATTCTGAAGCTTTGTGTTGAATTTTGAAAAAGCAATACATCGCTCACTGAGAAAGCTTATAAACAATAGATCCGGGATCAACTCCGCCAAGACCCATGAGAAATGTTTAGCCAATCAAAAGGGTCATTGAATCATTCCTAACCTATAGCCGAGAAGGTTCCGTCGGGAATATTCTCGCTCGGGTTTCTCAGATCGCCCGACATGTTAATGCCCGCCATCACTCCCGTCACAGTGGAGAAGAACACTCCAAATACTGTGAAGAACCCGTAGTCCTCATCGAAAGCTGGCTTGAAGTTCTCCCCCAGCAACCCCACGTGATATCCCACAACTCCTAAAATGATTGTTTCTTACTTGCAGAGCGCCCAAAAAATAATAACACCAGAAAAACTCATTGATAATTTGCGATGTTTTATTACTAAAGTTGTAAAAGCTAAAGCTCCCCGAGTTGTGAAAAAAACTTACGATACCCTAAAAAACGATGCATATTATCTTAAGCAACTAGAATGGTTTGAAAACGGTTATGTCAGTTGTTTCGTAATTATGTTTAAAAATGTAGAAAACGATTCCGTGTATATCGGGTGATATTGACCTTCATCTTCATCTGTGGATAGAAATGAGCCGACGATGAAATCCATGGCGGACACTGCGAGGATGAGGAGAAGGAGCAACTGCACCTTCACCACCCACTTCACTCCTGCCACGTTGATTGCAATTAGAATGACTGAAAAACAATAAAGATGGTAATAATAGTTGACATTGCAACCACTATTTCCATAGTCAGTGCTGCCCACTTGAACGTTTCTTCAAGCAGATCTCTTTCATATAACTTTTTTAAAATTAAGTTTTTAAAAACCAATAGTTCCAAAAATTCTTTCAGAAATTATCAATCTGGTTCTAATCAACCGAACTCTCATTCAAAGGATGACACCTATAGTTGATATCATTTATTGCTCGTGGCTTTCATTTTCCACGGCGCATTTAACCATTCAAGTTTACTTTTTCAAATAAGTCCATAATCGTATTCTTTGAATATGTTGACCATGCATCAGAAACACTTGTCTAATCCAAGTACTCGAAGCCTTTGCTTGATAACACTAAGCACTATTCAGACTCCCTTCCAAATTCGGAGGATAGAATTTTCACTATCTCTGAAACTTAAGCTTACACAGAAGCTAAACTGCACTTCGCAAACACCAGTGAGAACACGACAAAAAGCAGCTCTATAAAGTGCAATAGGAAAAAGTAGAAAAGCTTCGAATTAGTAAAAGTTCGGCTGTGTCTCGGGTTCGATCTACGACCGAGAGAATACGAGTCTCACGCACTTACAACGCAGTCACTGAGCTTTACAAATTGCAAACACTAGCCACAAATAGAGCAGAGATACAGAGGTCAAGCAGCACCTCGAAAATTTGCGAGAACACGACCAAAAAGCAGCTCTATCGTGTGAAATAAAAAAAAGTAGAAACAAGCCTCAAATTGGCAAAAAAAACTCGGCCTGGGCCACGTGTAGGATCCGAATCTGCGACCTACTGCAATGAAGACATTTTGAGTCTCACGCACTATCCACTCAGTCAAACAAGCTTAACAACCGACAAACACTAGTCACGAATGAAGCAGGTACATATACTAAAAACGTGTCAATTTGATTCAGCAGATGTGGCACCAAATACAAATAGATTCAATTTAGCATATAAATATTTGGAATATAACAAACTGAAGACATCCACACTAACTTTCACACAGAGGCGAACTTGCACTTCGCATACACAAGCAAAATTATGGTCGATAAAGCTACTGGGAAAAACTGAACGAGTAAAACTTTGAGTCTACAAATTTTCTTAAGTGACGAACGCCAATTATCAGTCACATAATTGCTAAGGCATGCAAGCTAATTATGACGCATAAGCAGTACATGTCAATTTGAAGAAAAGAAATTTGCCAACTAACAAGCCTCAATTTATAGAGCGGACGCATTTTAGTTAGTATACGAAAAAGTTCACTAAAATCTCCCCCTAAATGACCAACCGTAGAACTTCCCACCAAGCCGCGTATTAAATTTGAAAATTAATTCTGTATAATATATGCATTTCGAAAAAACACGCACATAAAATTAGTTGTCACAATTTTTTGATGTGGGATTGCATTTGAATGCTGTTAATAACCTAAACAAACATAATTTTAATCAATTTTCTCTAAATAAACATAATTTTCTATAAATCTAAGGTATACTCAAAAGTTATTTCCTGAAAAATCCATATTCCCCCCCCCCCCCCTAAATCAATTTGGGATGGGAAGGGCGGAAATTGTACTGATCCATCAGTGTTAATATCCTAAGTATTGGCTGTACTGAACTTTCAAACTGATCAAACTAAACTTTCAAAATGAACACATTTTGTCGCAACATTTGCGTCGCAACAATATTTGCAACTTAGGTTGGAAAAAAAGAAAAGATACTTATATACAAGCTTTGTCATAAACATTAAACACAAGCTTTAAGAAGTCATACTTAAAAATGCATCAACTGCGTTAACTTAGTACTATTCGAATGTCGAAGCACATGCTATGAAAAAGCTGTAAAGGTGCCCCATAAGTGGCACCAATATTTGCGACAATATTTCGCAAGTGTAAAGCCAACAAAATGTCAAAGAATCATCTTGTTCTAGCTATTTCTTCTTTCAAAACCGATGATATCGGACTTCATGAACATCACCCCAAACTAACGAAGTGAACTATCATCCCTCTAAAATTAAATAGCAAAATTAAACAATAAATCAACAAGCGAAATGCTTGAGATCCGAATGAATGAAAAAGAATGTGTTCAACCAACTGAACAACATCTCCCTGAGTTTGTTTACGAAGAAGATCGTTCACTCGGGTCATTATATGGCATATCTGTTTACCTAGAGTGACGATTGCGATTAGTTTCATCAGCCACTGGTTCGTGATGACCAGAAAGAGGGCGATGGACTCTGCGAAGCCAGTGCAGTAGAGAGCCACGCCCACTGCCTGTGCGAATGCATACACTATACCAATAGTCGAACCCAGTTTGGCACCTGCAACACATCAACTCAAATTTTGAAACGGGCAAAGAAGAAAGAGATCACGTTTTTTTAACAGATAAATTCATTTTGCTATTTCTCCCGACACAACTAAATATCACACAACTAAATATCACACATTTTCTAAGCTGCAAATCTATTTTCGGTCAAATTCAGTAATAGTTTGACAAAGGCCTTGCGTTTTTTAAGCTCATGCATATCTATGGTTCGGTATTTATTGGATTTTTAAGAACATCTATATTGTATATTGTTTGGTCTAAAATGGCTACCAGAAAACAGCACCAAATAAGGACGCTTTGAATGAAGAGAGAGTTAACTCAAACAGGATGTTGGTCAGAATAACTCAAATGCAATGTAGTGTATTTTGTGTTTGTAGTACAGTGTAGTGTAGTGTAGTGTAGTGTACCTAGGATGTGAGATAGTAGGAAGTAGATGCCGCCTGCGTCTAGATGGAGTCTCTCACACACTCCCACGGCGGAGAGGAGGGTGATGGTGGCCACACTCACAGCTATCAGGATGATCAGAAACGACAGACCCACGCCCGCATTCGCCACCATCCAACCTACAATACACAAAAAATTACAAATAACGCTAGGTAAAATCAAGTTTGTGTGCTTTTAAGAGTCAATTTCAATTTTTACTAAAAAGATTGGATAGAAGCATCTAAACGGAAAACGTTAAAAGTTTTTCAGACTTTTTCGCCCATTTTTTTCCCACATGCTATGTTAAAAAATCTTTCTCGACTAGAAACGCATTGATCCGACCACTTAACTTGCCTCAACTCAACTTTGAATGATTTCAGAGCCAGGTTAATTCAACTAGTACGCGTTATCCGAACGAAATGTACTAAGCTCCATCATCTAATTATGCAATTTTCAAAACCCATTAATTAAAAAAAAAACTATTGCATATATGTTTAACTTTTTTGACTAAATAGAAAATTTGACTGTGCATCTATAAAACTAACCCAATTAGAAAAAAAACTTGGTCAGCTGGTAAACTTTTTCATTCGTCTGGGAAAACTTAAATTTAGAACAATTTCGAAACTAAAATTCATTCAAAATTTTTCGTGCAATTTGCAAATTCGTTTTTGAAGAAAGTAATTTGCATTCCTTAAAAATTACTATTGATTATCCTTATCGCTGGGGTTAAACTAAATGGGATAAGTAATCGCGCAAAACCAATGACAACCAAACACTGTTTGCCTCTCTTAAGAATTAACTTGGTATATTTATTTAAAAACTATAAAAACAATATTTCTTTATTTTTTTTCTATATTAATTTTGTTTGTTATCATTATGTATTCGGGTAGACTCTCGGCAGTGTGTTCGTTTAGACTCATTATGTGCTCGGGTAGACTCTCACTCTTTAGTCTATCCTCTTCATTCTGGTATTTTGTACAATAGTTTATTTAAAAATCCTTAAAAAAATTTAAAAATAACTGTTGTATCTGTACTTATATGATTATGGAGACATAAATTCTTTCTTTCTTGAGCTGAATTTGAGAATGGATCAAAATTCAAACCTCGAAAAATCTAATTTGAGCCTGAAAAACAAACATTTCTCGGAAAAGAGCGAAAACGACCACTAAATAAGTCTGCATTTCGTTCAGTGACCCTTGATAGCCTATATTAACATCCTCAGCGTCCATTGCACTTCAGCGCTAGGTTATATGCATAGACTGAAATACCAGTGAACACAGAAGTTGATTCTAAAACAATAGCCAAAAGACAGTTGGAAAATAGTCAATGAACGCAAGAGACAGAAAAATACGAAAACTTTGAAAAATATGATCTTTTTGAAAATATTTCAACTTTTGAATTTCAAAGAAAAAAATTGCTTTAAAAATGCATGACATTTTAGAACAATTTATGATTGACATTTCTGTGATAAAATTAACCCAATTTGAAAAAACTGGATCAATAGATAAAATTTTCATTTGACTGGGAAATTCGATAATCAAATCGATTACTAGAAATTGATTACGTTTTTGTGCACTTTACCTCTCACTGTTTGATAGTGAGCACACTAAGAGCAAGTAAACAGAAACAAAAACCGAGTTGAAAAATCGCAACTTTCGAAATTTAAACTAAAATATATATGGCCTTAACCCTCTTTGAATTTCAAGACGAATGTATGATTGACACTGTAGTAATAAATTCAACTAAATTTGGGAATACTGGATCAATATGATAAAATTTATTTCGCTGGGAAACTCGATAGCTAGTTTCCACTTTCGAAACTAGAAGTCGATCACGTTTTTTTGGTGACCTTTTCAACTTTCGCAGTTAGATAGTGAGTTTGCCTTCTTTTTATCAAAGGAAATGAACTTTAAAAAAATCAGAAGTCAAACCGCGAAAAATCAAATTTGAGCCTGAACATATTTTAAGACTTTTTCTTAAAAGAAAAAACTAAAAGAAAACAATTATCGCGACCTATATAAGAGCCTCAACTACGTTCATCGACTCTTAAAAATGTGGGACTTAGGTGGGAAAAACCGATTTCGTAGTATATCATACTCGTTTCACATGCTTTATTCCGTGCGTATAAATGCTAACAAATCAAACAGAAGCTATCATTTTTCAAGAATGGACCTCACGGTAAGGCATGATTAATTTTCAGAATTATTTAGGATTTTATGTTCTATGGTTCGCTTTTTTTATGCTGCAAAAATTCGAGTATCCCTTTAAAGACAAAACGAACAGATGAGAAAAACTGAGAACAAATTTCTTCTCACCTGTTCTGAGAAAGACGATCACTCCGAATATGTTCATCATAGTGGACGTGAACACTCCATCCCACGTTCCGAATAGCACAGGCTCCGTGATGAAGAAGTTAGCTTTCCACCAGGGCTTGCTGTACGTCTGGTCATCCTGCTCGTGGAACAACTCCTAGGAAACAACTAACTTATTAAATGAGAATTCAGTTATCAAATGACCAAATATAGCCAACAGACAGTTGGAAAAGATAGTTGAGTTTTCCTTATTTAATCAAAGGAAATGAACTGAAATTTAAAAATAAAAGGTCAAAACGCGAAAATGTAAATTTGAGCTTGAACAAATTTAAAGCCTTTTTCTAATACAAAGCGAATAAAAAAAAGATTATCACAACCTATATCAGAGTGTGCACTACGTTCATCGACTCTTAAGAAAAATAACCGAAAAAAATTACTTTAACATTAGATGTTCCTGAGCTGACGTTGGGACTACTTTCATCTGGTGCCGTTGTCGAGGGCGACTTGTTTCCGCCTAGGAGTCTCTGAGATGATGGCGTGCTGGTTTTCTCACCCAGGCCAAACTTTGACCACTCTAAGTTTTGTTTACGGGAAGATCCATTGGGCTAAAACCGTAAGTAGTAAAACCTGAAAACTAAGTAAATTCTCGGTTAAATTCATTTGATGAAATATTATCGCGGCTAAAATTTGTTTATTTGATGGATGAGTATGAATTCTTAAGCAACAAATGAAAACCCATCAAATTATTGTGATTGTACGGGATATTAAGCTAACAATAGCTTAATTGGGAACAACTCAGACGAATTTAAACAGCTGCTAACCGTTGATTTGGAATCCATCATCGAAGGAGATGAATTTTCCGACATTTTAGATTTACTATGTTTGCCTCTTCTATCCGAAGATACTAGACGTTTCCAGGTACCTCCAGTCGCGGTCAGAAACTTCGATGTCTCGCCACGATTCCAAGGAGGTACAAACTGATCTGAACTACTTGTGTTCCCTGAACCATTCAATTGCGAAGATTCTAAATTTTTGGCACCTATACGATTCCCGCTATCCGATACCCTGTTGGCACCTTGACTTGGACTACCAGGGTTTGGAATCTGGTCGTCACCACGTGGGAACCGAAAGAAATCGGCAAAGCTAGCCGACACGCTACCGGTGTAACTTCTCCGCCTCGGTTCGTTCACAACTCCGTTATGTTGACCTTGATTTGAAATTAAAGGTTGAGAATCGTCAGATTTATTGAAATCGACGGAGCTATGATATGAGGTTGATTTATTGCTAGACTTCTGATCGTCGACCAGTAATAATTTCACGTCCTCCAAATTATCATCGTCCCATTTCATCTGTTGAGACTCATTGAATCGCAAAAATATAAGTAGATAAAATGGAATCAAGCTTTTCGGTTATTGCATCGATGTCACGGGTTAAACTTGAAGAATGAAATAATAACGAGACTATTAAGGAACACGTGGGATGCTCTTGGGATCCATTGCATAACCTGAAAAAAAATGTATAGACTGAGTTACAATTGTGACCATATTTCATCTAATAGGGATAATAAGGATCCTTTTGAGAATGGTTTTTAATTTTTTTAAAAAACAAAAGAAAGAATATACTTTCAATTTCATCTAATCTAATTCACAAATAGTCTATTTGAGAATATAAATTAAAAGGAAATGATATGAAAAGCACGACACGATAAGTTTTCTGAACACCTCAAAAATGGTGATAAAACTATGTAAAAGTTGAGTTAACAAGTAAAATACATCGAAGTAGTTTCATCATATTTGACGCTAACTGAGAACCGGACGAAAAAGCGAAGTAAATGTAAATAGAGCAACAAATGTTTTCATTCCCAGTACAGTTCGCATGGGAGAATACTAATTTTTATAGCTGAACCGTTAGGCTATTGGAAGGCATCTATAGTGGTGGTATAGTAACGTCATACATCTCCAAGCAAGCAAAAATAGCCTTTTCACATTGAAAACTGAGACTTCCAAATCAAATGGAATAAATGAAGTACTCTCAAGATGTACTCTATTTTCAGTTATGACCGGAAGCAGATCTGATTAACAAAAATAATTTTAAAAAATAGGAAAAAAGTAGCAAAAACTCAAGAAATAAGCTAAATATATACCTTGCTAAGATTAACTAGGTATATTTTTAGCTTATTTCTCTAGTAAGCGCTATAAAATTCATGGTTTGGCCAAAAAATAGAAACACTGTTTTAGTAATTCAATGATATTTTTTGTTCAAAGACAGACGTCACAGCGGCCCAGGAAATTAAGAACAAACACTTCCTTTTGTGAATTAAAATGTTTCACTCTGTTTGACATTTTAATTTGATGTTGCGGCACTAAATTCTATAGTAATTCTTTTAAACCAACGCTTATAAAATGAGTTACCGTAATTTTGTCGTCTTCAAAATGTAAAAAAAGATAGGTACCTTCAGGAGGAGACTGCGTTTGTAATATATTCCATGTTATATGAAAGATTTGCGTTTGTAATATATTCCATGTTATATGAAAGATTTTACTAAGATCCGCCCACCAGGTCTGTGATTTTAGCGACAACTGGCAGAAAAAAAATTGAATTGAATGGTTTAGTTGGACAATTTCAGTAGTAAGCTAGCATGCAGATTTCTGAAACATATTAACTTCGAAAGACTGAAGTGTTTTCCATCACAAGGGCAAAAATCGATTTTTTTTCGAAGGGCGATCTAAAAAACCATAGCAAAAATTGCTTTGCAAAAAAAGGTTCTCTTAAGTAAACTCATCAAGCGATGAAACTTGGGACAATTTCTAGTAATTTCATAGAGTGAATCGATTTGCAAAATTTTCCAATATATTTATAGAGCGGTTTGCAAAAAATCGAGCTATTCGAAAAGTTTTTAAGCCCGCTCATCAATGGATGGAAAATTGATGAGATTTTTGACAGCCGAATCAGTTTTCAAAAAAAAATCGAAGTTTTGTTCAGCATGCTCATCAAACGATCGAGCATTAAAATGAAAATTAAAGTTTTGAGCTTTTTAAGCAATCTCATCTAACCATGAAAGTTGAGCTACTTTTAATAGCTCAAATTGCTGCGCACAAATTGGAGTTTTAATCAATTTCACAATACGATCTATCTTCTTCTTCAACATTTTTCTTCGAAAATACGAAACAAAGCAAACAGACAAATGGAAAGTGACAAAGAACATTGACACAAAAAAAAGGATTAAAAATTTTTGAACAGTTTCAAATTTTGTTGAGTGTATCAAGCTGAAGATTTTGATTTTCAAATACTGTTTATGATTGGACTTTGCTCGTTTTGTGTCCCCATTCAGAGGAAACTGGATCAACAGTCAACGTTGTATTCCATTGGGAATTTAGAAAACTGGAATTGTGATGGCGCTATTTTTAATATATTTCCTAGGAATATTGGACAATGCTTTACTATAAAATTCAAACTTTCGATGGCGAGCTTTTACTTTACTTCGCAGCAGGGCCGACAGTATCTGATCTCACTCTTAGATAGTAAAAGTAGTTAGTTATTTTAATACTGAATTTCGTCTTACTGTTCGTCAGGTTTCAATCTCATCGCGCTCAGTGTTATAATTTTCACACTGGTTCTATTCAATAGTTCAAATATAATCATATCTACTTGCGCCGGCACGCGCCAGATGAAAGACAATAACAAAATTAGCGGCACTTAATAAGGCAATAGTTTAGAGTATTTTATACGGCAAGTTATAACCGGAGCAGGATGGAGTAATTATGTTCTCAGATAGGGAAACAGATAGATACTTTTTCCGGTTTATGAGTGGTTTTAGCAAATACAAGAATTGTTTGTGGTGCTTCGTGTTTGAGCAAGTGATTTTACATTCTTATGATGGTATACAAGTTCAAGCTCCATATATGGTAATAAGGAAATATGGATGATTATAGCACTCTTAATATAACGGACTTTTCTAGGACGTTACACAACCGTTCTTTGATAAAATTTATGTATTTAAATTTAAATGTGGTTACTAGTTTTTTTTGTAGGTTTTGATAAGGTGCCACCCTTAAGTTGTCGATTGTGTTGTCGCGTTGTTCACCGGTGATTGTTGTTGCTGGAGAGTCTGAACTGGGAATGTTTGAGGAGACCGAAAGTAGATTGGGTTTTGGTCTGTTTGTTGTGTTTCGTGCGGGATTTCACGGGCATGTACTGAATGCCGTGACTGCGATTGGAGACTTCTGCGGGATGAACTGAGGGATTGGGTTTGTATAGCGTCTCTTTGGTTTTCCTCTTGTATCAGATGCTTGTGGTTTTCATCCACAAGGTTCTCGATTTTGTTTTATCGAAGGAGTATGTCTTGTATTAATTCTTCATCCGTTGTAGATTCATTAATGAAAGTTATCTTCCTTTTGAGCTTATGATCCATCCATTGTACCAGTGGGAATTGGTCCTTAGTTACTGACATGACTTGTTTTACTGGAATTTTTGTATCGGTTGATTTCATAAATTTTGGCGTTAAGTTTCGAATGAACTTGAATTTATGATAAAGGTACATGACTAGGATGTGTAAAAGAAGATTTCCGATAAAAACAAAGATTGTGAGGGATAGAGAGACTTTTATAGGGACGTAGGAATCGAGTTTATCAATTAATGTTGGTTTCAAAAGTTGCATTTTGTGGGCTAAGGGTTTAGCAATTTTGTCATAATCGTTTTGTTGAAGATTATCTACTGACATCATTGTCAATTCTAGTTTCATTTGCTGAAATAGGGCAATATTTGCGTCCGCTTTAGACTTGTAATAGGGTAATTGGTCTAGCTCGGGGACCGTTGAAATAAGCTTCTGAAGAGGGTCGTCTAATTTGACGTCAATTTGTACTGCTGGAATTTTTGCGCAGCTTGACAGGTCTGACCGTATTTTAATATGCTTGCTTATAAGTTGCTCTCCACAATTAAGAGTTATAAGGCAAATTTTACATCCATCCTTATTCACGTTTGATGTTGTTTCTTGTCCACTTACTATGTGTTGTCTCCATTTAAATTGTCTTGCGCTCGTTATTAACCAAATTCCAAATCCGAGGTTGGTCGCTTTTTCCGGGATGGGTAGTAGGATTTTTCTGGTTTCACAGACAGCTAAGGCAACTATCGGTTCCTGATAGTAAAGTGTCGCAAGACATGAGGATTGTGCTAAGTGTGTTTCCATTGTTTCATCGCAAATTCTGTATGTTGATGATCCAATGCAGTTGTCCAATTGTTTTTGTGTAAGAGCTGTCGTTTCCATTGAATCCTGTGAAATTGCTAGGTATGGGCTTTCGATGACCCATTCTAAAGCTTCAGAGGGGTTGTGTTGTGGCATTGGTACTAAATGTGCACTGTAAACTGTAAAGGTTGTGTTTCTTGATGATAGAGGTATCGCCAATGTCAGAAGTAATCCTTGTTTTACTGTTGAAATTTCTGTTAGTAATTTCGCATCGTAATAGGACATTAGATCTTGCATTGGAATTGCCAATGACAGTTTATCCGTGGAGTATTTTTGTGCATCATGTACTGAGTCGAGTACAGCATTTAAAGATTCTCGTGGAACTAGGGACATTGGAAGTCTTTCTTTTTCTAGTAGAATTGGGATTGAGTTGAGCAAATTTATGCTATAGGCGTATAAAGCTGAACGGTAACTTTTGACGTCTGCATACCAAACGTTCAACAATGAAGCGGCTGTTTCGAAATTGAAATTTAGCTGTTGGTGCGAAAACAGCATTTGAGTACAATCTCGTAAAACATGAAAGTTGTTTTGAAAGTTTTCAAATTGCTGCTGTACAATTTTCCAATTTTTGTTCTGGTTTTCTTGCAATTCCTTTTGGATTTTCGCTATTTCGTTGGAAATCAAGAAGAATTTCTCGTTGCTGGCTTGTTCAATTTCTAAAACGTACTCTGTAAGTTGGCTAGCGTATTGGCTTAGTCGGTCGATGTTCTCTGCATTTTTCTTTCCTGTGTTTTGGCATTTACCGAAAACTCCAAGAAATCCACAGTCACTTGATCCTCCCATTGATATTCCAAGGGATCCGAACAGCGCTATTCCTGCTACAGCAGCGGCTGCTACTACAGGTGCACCGCGTTTTTCACGATTTAGGATTCCTTGTGAATTTTGTTGTTTGTTTTGATTTTCTTCCTCGTTTTCATCGTTCGATAGAAATTTTGCTGTTACGTTGCGCATGTGTTCAACTTCCTGCTGTGCTGCATTTGTTTCGTTTTGTATTTTGGCCAGCATCCAATTCAAATGAAAGGGTTTGTGCGAGGAATTGAAAGGTTGCGAAAAATCTAGTGGACATTCGGCCGAAGGCTGACTCCACATTTCGGCTAATTTTGCTAACATTGTTTCTTCTTGTTTCTGCATCGTGAAATTGTATTTCGGGAATGGCACAAGAAATTGAACGTTAACAAATTTTTCCGCAAGTAATATTTGGGACTCTTTGTGGAATAAAATTCCTCTTGTAAGCGCTTCATATTCTGAAGGAAATGTATCGCAATTTCCACTTAAGACGAAAGTAAGGAGTAAAATAATTCTTGGCCTCATTTTTGGGCTGGACTTTATAAACTGATTCAATGAAAGAGTAAGAGTGAGAATAACCGATTGAGTTAATTTTCTCGAATATAAATATTCGTATGTTTGTCAGAGGATGTTTTTCTGTTGGTTTATTGTCGTCTTTACTTATTTGGAAATGTTTATTTACTATAGTTTCGGTGGTTCGGATTTTTGTTGGATCTAATTGATGATGAAGTAAAAATGGATGTTTATATATGGTAAAAATCGTTTTGTTCAAGGAAAATGGAGAAACGTGTAGTAAAGGGTTGTTGAGTGTTTCAGAAGCGAAATGTGTTGGAATGTGACATTCTTTAACTCCATTATTACATGCTGTAAGAATGGATCATTCATCGTGGGTCAGAACATTTGGTCAGTTCGAAGGTCACGTATTTGTGATCAAGGCCAAGCCAATAATTCGTTTCATGGTCCTTCAATTGCGGGCATTGCTGATGACGGGGGTCACGATGAGTCGTACTTTGCTATGCTCATTGTTACTTTTATCCTTC